CACACAAGCCCTCCGGTTACCACTTAAGATACAAACAGCTGATATTTTGGAAATAAAAGGGAGAAATAGCCAATGAAGAGGCAGGAGAAGCCGGATGAAAAAGCAATTTCTCCTTGATCCAGGGTGAACTTGGTGGTGTGATAATGTTGACATTGAGATCCCTGCAAGCCAATCGGACAAAGAGCTACAGAAAAAAGCAGGCACCGTGGTGTTGTTGGCATAAATTTTATACTGAAACGGAAAAGTTGAAATTCAAGAGCCAAGGGGGTTAGTATAAAGAGTGAAAGGGTGAATGAAATCCTGAGGAGCACCAACAGGTAACAAAGAAGGAATAGAAACTCCAATCGGCAAAAAAGCAGACTCAAGAGATAAGACTGAAATCAGGGAAGTGCTGTGGCACTGGTGCCAAGGAAGGGCACGCTGTTTTGTAGTTATTTTTGTCCTTGAGTTGGTCTTGAGCTGGGCAGGGTTGGGTAGAGCATACAAATTGAATAAATAGCAGTAGCACTTAGATTTATATCCTGCTTCATGGTGCTCTTACAGCCCTCTCTAAGTCATTTACAGAGTCAGCATATTTTTCCCAACAATCTGGGTCCTCATTTTACTGATCTCGGAAGGATGGAAGGCTGAGTCAACCTTGAACCGGCCAGGATCGAACTGCTGGCAGTCGGCAGAATTAGCCTGCAATACTGCATTCTATCCATTACGCCACCATAGTTCTTCTAAATAAATGTGAGACCTCAAAATTTGGTAATCCCGTGTGGGAAAAGGTCTAAAAGAGCAAGAAAAATGACAAATAATTGTCAAAGGCTACCAAAATATCATTTGAAATGAATAATTACAGATTTAATTGAACGGGCCGTGTGAAAATGTTGTCAAGGGAACAAAATGGCAGTGGAAGGTTGCAAAAGGGCCTCTATTGAAATGTGGCCATTGTACGACTTTCAGATATATTGGCCTGCATCTCACCTCAAATCTCAGCCACCTGGTGAAGAAATTAGTGGATTGGTAATGCAATGTATCTGAAGAGCGCCATATCGATATTTTCTAAAGAACTTTTGCTCATTTTGGAACAATTCCTATGATCTAGCTAATTATTTGGGGAAATTCCCTATCTCATCAGAAAAAAATCCAGGGAGAGAGAAGAAAGCAAGCAACGTAATATGGAATATTCCATCTGCATCATTTTTAAATGATACATATATCATTTAGACCTTCACAGCTCTTTCCCGGATGCATTGGTTTATTCCAGCTTTACTACTAGTTTGTGTTCTCCCAGGGAGTATTTAAGTCTTCTTCCTATAAATGGCTCAAGACGGCTCATATTTTCAAATTCTGAATCTTCGGTTTGTTATTATTTTCCAGTTTACTGTATGGTTGACATGAATCAGCTGAAGGATGGATAGAAGACCAAACAACTGAGAGAAATGGTTCTGATGTTGATGACGAAGAATAGGTGGCCTAGATCTTTACATTTGCTCCTAACTCTTAAGGCAGTTTTCATCAACCTCGTCCTCTCCCAATTGGAGGATTTCAACCAGATTTGGGGCGGCTTTGTTAGGAATACCAGAAAGTGGGACAGAAATACAAATGCTTGGCAGTTATCTTCACCACCACATTCTCCCACTCAATCAACCTGGCCAATCTTGCTGGGAAAACTCAAGGCTGTGTGTGTGTGTGTGTGTGTGTGTGTGATGCTCAAGAGATGTTTCTATAGTAATGCCAGGTTTTTGAAACAGCCTCCCAGTAAAAATTAGCCTAGCTCCATGATGGCGAACCTATGGCACACGTGCCATAGGTGGCACAAGGAGTCCTCTCTGTGGGCACATGCTCCATCGCTAGCTGCTCTTCTGGTTTAAAGCATGCGCATGCGTACCGGGTAGCTAGTCTTCAGGTTTCTGACGCTCCAACGCTTGCACATGCACGGGTGTTCCGGTTTGGGCACTCGGTGCCAAGAAGGTTCGCCATCACTGGCCTCGCTGCTCTTCAATTGCTTTCTGGAAACAGCTGAGAAGTAGATTTATTCTGGAAGGCATAAAGGGGCAGAAAGCTTTCTTAGATGGGGTTTCATAAATCGATGGCTGTTGGTATCTTGTCATGGTAGTCCAGACAAGGAAACCAAAAGCAAGAATATTAATATTACTTTTATTGTAAGGTTGCAGTTATCGAATCTCGCAAGTCTAAAATCCCTTCCACCTGTTCTTCTGCCGTACCTCTCGGAGAATTAGAGAAGGTCAACTCCAAGATGCTTGGAACTCCCGACTGAAGCTCTGGACTTTCTCTTGCCTGCAATTCTTCCTCCGGTCTCTTACAATGTATTACACAAAAATGTAGTCCTTGACTTATGATGACCACAATTAAGCTCCAAATTTCCATTGTTAAGCAAGGCAGTGGTAAGTTGTGTCCCATTTTACAACATTTTTTGCCACAATTGTTAAGTGAATCATTGCAAGCTGCTACGTGAATCATTCAGTTGTTAAGTGAATCTGACTTCCACCATTAACTTTGCTTGTCGGAAGCTGGCTAGGAAGGTTACAAATGGTAATTACATGATTTTGAGACAATTGTCATAAATATATCCCAGTTTGGGCTTTTATTATGTTTAAATGTGTATAATTTTAAACTAATTCTGGATGCTTTAATTATTGTACTTAATACGGACTGCCAGGAGCCCCTTGGGATAGTAGTGGCATATAAATATAAGTAAAAAATAGAACTGTGGGATTTCCATAGCAGAGTTAAGATAGAATTAACCCTCTAGTAGATTCTATGTTATCATCTGCAGATTTGGCCATGGCCATGCGCTCTACATGGGGGCCGCCCTTGAAAAGCGGGAATCTGGAAGTGCCAGTTAGTTCAAAATACAGCACCCTGCATGGTTTTGTGCTGACCTTAGTGGGCTCATGCGGGAGCTGCATTGGTTGACGATTTGCTTCCAGGACCAGGTCATCTAAGGGACCGTCGTCTCTTGCAGGTTACATCCAACCAGCCCACCAGAGCGAGGAGGCAATGAAAGTTGAGGGCCCTAGGAAGGTACATCTGGTGGGATTCAGAAGAAGAGCCTTCTCTGTGGTAGCTCCCTCCCTTCGTAATATCATCCCTTCAGGAATCCGTCTGGTCCCCACGGACACCCTTTTGTAAGGCAGCAGACCTGAGGAACCCAGAGTGGGATGGAGCCCATCAAATGGCGTATTTGACCGGCTAATTGTTTTTTTTCCATTTCATTTTTTCTATACTGTGTTTTTATTGTTTGTAAGCGCCTAGAGATGCTGTGGGAAAGTTAAAATTTCTAAATAAATAAACTTCCTGCCATTAAATGTATGAGGAAAAGTCTCAGACCGGCACTCATCAGCCCAAAATGAAGGAGCTATAGCAATCCCCATTTCCGTTGTCGCAGAATTGCTCTGACCTCTGTATACCAGAGAATGCTGAGCCACGGAGGATGGAGGGGAGGGTCCCTATTTTGTATAGTATTTCCTTTAAATAAGTTGGAGGCTGGACATACGTGATAAGGATTTTGGCATTGCTAAACCAAGTCAGGTCTTAATGCTGAGAGTCACTCATCAATTTATGCTCTGCACTTCTATCGAAGGATCTGGTACTTTACCTTCTGACGAGACATGGAGGTGGGATGATCAACCTGGGTTCCCAAACCACATGGTGGTACCACATGCATTTTTGGTAACCTCCTCATCCTATAATCATGACTGCCAAAATCAGTGGTGGGATTTTTAAAGCAAGGAAGAAAGATTTCCCTAAAATCTAGACAAAAATTAAACATTCAACCCAGTTCACCGAAATGAGGCAGGGCCCTTGCTTAACATTATCGCCTCTTCTACTGCAGCGCCCCCCCCCCTTATGCTTTAAATGACCTGGGAAGCGTTTTATAATCAGTTGAGTAATTAAGTAATTTTACATCGTTGGTATCCTGTATCAGTTATACTGATTATGTAAGCTGCTCCAAATTGAGGTAAGCCAGCCATGCTGCATTTTGGGAGGGCGTTTTGAACAGAAGGGTCATTCTATAAAATTTCTGTTTCAACAACACTGACAACAACAACAACAACAACAGTGCTCACACAGGAGAGAAGAATGAAACAGCAGATGATGGGTGAAATCAGCAACTCTCGTGTGTGTGTGTGTGTGTGTGTGTGTGTGTGTTGAGAGATGAGGTGTATTTTGGGAAACAGCACCATTTAAGTACAAACAAACTGAGTTTCCAGTACAGGGAGGTTATAGGTTATAGGCTTTTTACATTTATATGCCGCCTATTCCCCGGAGGGACTCAGGGCGGCTAACAAACCCAAGGGAGGGAGTAATACAAAGCAACCAACAGACAAGATACAAAGAGGGTTTAGAAACGATCAACAGTCACCCAATTTGAGTGGGGAAGGGAACTCGTCAGCCCCAGGCCTGTCGGAACAGCCAGGTTTTAAGGGCTTTACGGAAGGCCTGGAGGGTGGTGAGGGTCCGGATCTCCGCGGGGAGCTCGTTCCAAAGGGCCGGAGCAGCCACAGAGAAGGCCCTCCTCCAGGTGGTCGACAACCGGCATTGGCCGGCAGATGGAATTCGGAGGAGGCCAAGTCTGTGGGATCTGATGGGGTCTTTGGGGGGGTGATTGGCAGCAGGCAGTCTCTCAAGTAGGAAAGCTCAGTCTAGGAAAGCTTTGCAATAAACCAATGAAACTGAACAAGCCGCCTTAGCTCCATTCTGAAGATGGCTTAGTCAGCGCTGATCCGTACATTTTTTCTGGAGATGTAAACAAAGGGCAATTCCCATTCCTGCTGCTTCCGGCTGTTCTGAACATTAAAAAAAAAAGTTCTTCCCTCCTGGAAGTTCAGCGTTATCATCATCCCTCCCTTTCATGATGTGGAATAGGATACAATCACAGACGGCTGGTATTAGTAACCACCATAATGCAAGCCTGCTAGAAAGTATATTTCACCTGAAAATGTTATTTTGCCCCAAGCCAAGCACTAATCAGAGGCAGGACTCGGAAACAGAGAAGAAACACCAGCTGTTTATTGTATCAAGAGCAATACAGCTGCTACAGTCACATCCTGTCTTTGATTGTTTAAATCTAAGGAGGCTGAGTTATATGCCGAGTGGGCGGTTGCATAAATCATTGAAAGGAATACAGAGAGATCAGAGCAGCCTCTTTACCCTTGACACTTTGCCACTGATTTCTTGGTATTTAAGCAAAATATCTGCATTCCTTAAATGACTCCAAACATCACACATGAAGACAAGAGCAATGGGTCTCGGTTGAAGTTATTTGCTTAATATGATCAAATGCATTTTATCCGTGAGATTTGTTTGCTAGCCGTAGCTCTCAAGTTCAATGTGTAGCTTTCCATCAGCCTTGACATTTCCGTAATAACAAAATCCTTGAGGATCCAAGTTCAGTGACAAGCTTTATCCCTTTTGAGGGCACAAAAATAAAATCTGATATATGGTTAGAAACTTTGAAGCCAAATATTATCTTAATCTGGAAAATAGGCCTCTCAGCTAAGCCACGCAGATGCTAATGAATATCACTCTAAATCTTCTCAATGAGGGTTTTTTGGTGGGGGAGGGGGAGAAGAGATCCACTGGTTTAAGAGTGATGAAATGTCAAGTTGATCATCTCCCATTCTCAAAAAACCTATTTGAGGTTACTATACCAAAATTAGCACAATATGCAATTACATAAAAAACTTTGGTACTTAATACAGATTAAATTATGAAACATACCTTCACAAAATAATTCTGAGAAGATAGAAAGAACAAAATGCAACCACACTATCTTTAAACCTACACTACAACTACATCATAAGGTTTTCCAAAGGCTTAGGACATAAATTCTAACTTTATGAAGTAAAAACATAAACGACAATAAAGAGGGAATACGAAGTTTTATAAAGTTTCTTTAAAAAACAGATTCCCCAGAAAAACAGCCAGTGAGAGGCTGCTGCGTGAGAGACAGTCTTTCATCCACTTAAAATGTCATTTTAGAAAATATATTTGTGGGTAGGAGATTATCTGGTGTAGGGAGCAGCTCGCCTGTAAAAGCGGTGAAACGATACTCCTTGTGAAGGTCCTTCTTCAATTCAGTAAGCTCCCCCTCCAAATGTTCAACCTGTGGTGGCAAAGATTCAGATGTGAATAAACAACCCGCACACAACACCTAATGACCAAATTAACATAACATGACCGTCTTATTTACGGTTGTGCCTCAAACAATACTCGGCAGTTGCAAACGTGGATAGATTAAACCTGGCTCTCTGCCATTCTCATGTCAATGTGAAATAATTGCCTTTGGCCAGGAAAGCTTCAATTATGAATTCTGCTCAGTATTGTTGCTAATATCTGTTTGTTTGTTTGTATGTTTTTTCATTCATTCATTTGCAAAGCACCATAATCAAAATTCTTTGTCTTATTTCAACTCGTTTTCCTAAATGAAGAATTCCTTCATTTATTTTTCATTCATGTTGCTCAACCTATCTTCCCATCTTACAAATTGATTGCATTTACTAGAGTGAGTTAGGGACTGCTTTGGAATCTTGATTCATATGCAAACCCAACTTCTGTCAACATAGTTTATGGTAGGATTTGCAGTCAAGAGGAGGGGAGACTGGAAAACTTCAAGGGGGTGAGAGGGACAAGAGCACAAATCCCATCCCATCCCAGCATTTAGGAATGGTACATAATGGTATATTTCAAAGGGAATAAATGCAACCTACAATGTCAACATCTTTGATTTGATTTCTAAATGCAAACCTACAGTTTCAAGGTCTTGATTTGCTTTTTCCATTTCTTCTTTGGGTAATCCTCTTAACTTTTTTCTTTTTTCTTTCATTAATTGTGTGTGCTGTTTAATGCGATTTTGTACTTCCTTGTATTTTGCAGCCCTGAAAGAAGAAGCAGAATCAATGCTTTTCCCCCAAATTTGTCTCGTTTTCATGTATAGATCTACTTAGGAATTACATATTTAATAAGTACTCTTACATGGCAATTAAAAAGCCATATGGAAATGTAGAAAGAGTAACATTTTAAAAGGCCTGAAGCTTCTGAATGTGTGGATATTTGGGATATATGTTTAAGCTTCTAAAACTACAGAATTGAATAAACTGGAATTTTTAATCTGCTTGTCCTAGCCTACAAAAAAATTAGGATGCAATCTTGCTTAGAAATAAACTTTAATAATCTTTAATAAAGTCAGTTAGAATTTAGTAAACACAGAATTATACAGTTTTCTACTAGTCACCTTCCTATCTTTTCCCCCCCCCAATCCTTGTATCCTTTCCCATGGCCCATCAGGGAAAGATAGAAATAAAAGTGGACCTTGATTCTTAACTAATCTTTGAAAAAATTACACATCTCTCACAACAGAATAAAAATCAGCCTACAACATGGACAATAAACACTGTAAAACACCATGCATTTATATAGATGAGCCCATCTGTATTCAAGTTTGGTCCTAAATATTTGACAAACGGCAAATTATAGTCATAGCCTTGAGGAGGTACATAATACCTATAGTTGGTAAAATGTCTTAACACTAGAAGCAGAAAATCTGCTGAACATCTTGGCCACACCCTAGCAGTAAAAATACTATTGCAATATGATTAATTAATGTTCAATTTTGAGACTTTTCTTATTAGTCTTCAAATCAGCAGCCTGAGGGAAGTTCAGCTTAATGACCGGGCTGGCTTTGAGAGCAGTTTTCAAAACAGAGTCCGATAGAATAAATATCTCGGGTACATGTGGTAGGGTAGAAAAATTTCCTTATTCAATAGTGATGACATCATTTTGACCACTACCCTGGGTCATAGAAAGTAATGCTTTTGATTATCCATTCTCTGCATCTGTCTTTATAGAAGGGCAAGGAGTTCCAAAATATTAATTCATATTTTAGATAAATATCCAGGAAAACAGCTAACAGGAGCAGTGGCTTTGCTGGATATGGAACAAGAGTAGGTCCAATTTTTCCAGTAACTTTTGGCTGGTATGAATTTCTTTCTATTTTTTAAAAAAATCATGTTACAGCGTGGTTTTGAACGGATGGTTCTGCTTATGTTCCCTATCAAAATAATAGAAATCCTGACCAATATGATTCCACAAGGCTATGGTTTAATTCTACATTTAATACTTAGAAAAGAGATCTTCCCTCCCCTTCATTTTTTTTTTGCTATGTTTACCTGCTCTCTTAATTTTTTTATACATTAAAGCAATTAAAAAGAAAACGATATAATTTGAAATGCTAATGTTTCCAAATGAGGGATGTGTCCACCAAAACCCTTTTCTGGCCGGGAGGATGACTTGGAGAGCTTTTCATGTATCCAGAGTCCTTGTGGTAATGATTCATGTGGACGTAATCTCTAGAGGACACACAGAGGTAATTGGGCAACAGGGCCATGGCTCCCACCACCATCTGGGCCCCGCTTGTCCGTGGCAATCTTAAAGCCTCCTGCTCTCCCTAATTTTTCTGAGAACAAAACAAATCTTACTACTACACTGAGGCACAGGGCCATCATAGCTGTCTCTACGTACTTGTACTGTCAACCTTTGGTTTTGATTTTGACTTAAAAACTCATAATGATAATGAGGGCAGGATGACCCACCAAGTACTATTCTGTTTCCTATCCTATATTTAAAGTAATTAGATTATAACTTTATTTAATTCTTTGAAGATTTTTGTTAGAGGTATATTCTACTGGTGTGAGTTTTGTGAGCTGGGAGCTGTCTGAAGTCACCCCTGAGCTTCCATGATTAAGACCTTGTTTCCAATACACGTCTAATATTTTAACCTCTTTATGACACATTCCACATGGGCTTTCTCTTTATATTAAGTTTAAAAAATTACACTATCACTTTTATTGCACAATTCAAGACAGCACATCTTATTTGTCACTAGGAAGCATGCAATGTTTCCATGCTTTTTTTCTTGCACGTATCTTCAAATGAGAAACAAACATTGCATGCAAACATACGATCTGAAGACTTTTTCAGAAATCAGAGTTTGGTTTATTATAGTAATGCTTCTCCATTCAGATATGACTATTGGGAAAAAAAACACATGCAAAATATTTCAAACCCTGAAACTTCTGAAAATGCAGGAGTAATATCTATTCTAGCTGTATGCAAAAAAGGCATATGCTATTATTTTGGAGAAGAATAGAATATCAGTACATTGCTTGTTCTCTTTCATTACTGTGTTATCAATTGCTATCAGCTAAGGGAAAAAAATCTTTAAAGCAATTAAGCATCTGTCTCCTGTCTTCAAGCTTTAAAGCAATTAAAAATGTTTTTCTTCTGAAGTCCCTAGTTATGAACAAGAAGTTTCCACAAAGCAACTTACAGAGCAGAATCCAGGAAGAAGAAAAAAGTTATATTAGACTGGTGTGGCAGGATCATATTTAAACATTAAACAATAATTTTATAGATTGTTTAATGAACAAGTACACAAGAAAAGGAAAAGGAAAGCAACAGCAACAATAGACCATAATTTACAAGAATGTCAGCTTAGAACATGTGGAATTTTGTCTCCGCCAATAACACTTAGACTTATATACCACTTCACAGTGCTTTAAAGCCCTCTCTAAGTGGTTTACAAAGTCGGCATATATCACCCAACAATCTGGGTCCTCATTTTACCAACCTTGGAAGAATGAAAAGCTCAGTCAACCTTGAGTCAGTCAGGATTGAACTCCTGCTGTGGGCAGTTAGCCTGCAGTACTGCATTCTAACCACTGAGCCACTGTGCCTGTTCTGCCTCGAGCCTTGTAGGCTTGCTCGGGGCATGCAGTTAATTCCACGCTTAGGAATCTCATTCAGATCAAGTTTATTATCAGGCATTCTTAATAGCAAAAGTTACAGTTCAATGTTAAGATACTTCTGACTTTCCATAATCTGTCCCATTGCGTGGTGTAAAAAGATGATGATTTCACTCCCATGCTGAGCGGAGATACAAAACACTACTATTCTGGTTCACAAAGGTATTTAAACTGTCCGACTATAAAATCTGCACGCAGGCAGAATGCCCCAGTGGCCAATCAGAATGCCCCAGTGACACGTGATCACATGTCATGGAACTACATTTCCCATAAGGCAGTCTCTGCCTACATTTCCCATGAGGTAGTTTCTTAAAGGAGACAGTTCTTAATTCCTACACTAGCTGTATACTGCTGGGGCAGCACAGTGCCTCTAAATGTCTGTATAGGCTCTCATTTCTGAGATGAATAAGTGCCTTTTGATTAATAAAAGTAGCAAACAGCTGCACTACCCTTTTATGACAGTCATTCATGATATGATATTGATAGCAACGTATTGGCATAATGAACATCTTCAGGCTCAAAGTACTTTTTCTTTTAAAATGCTACTAGCATTTCTGCTGCTACAGAATTTGAATCGAATTACGGGAGCTGATGCAATGCACATTATGAAATTATAGAAGAACAGGGAAGAGGAGAAGGAGATGGAAGAAGAAGAAGATGAAAAGGAGGAGGAAGAGGAAGAAGCAGCTGTACCTAGTTGTTAATTTGTGTTGCTAAATCGGAAAGGAGGACCTGGAACGTTAGAAAACTGTAGTGCCCGTGTCAGGCCTGCATTTATATTCCTTTTAGAATTTTGGCCTGCCACACTTTCTCTTATTTCATTATGTTGTTTCTTTAGTATAGTTGATGGCGGGGGGGGGGGGAATAGACAGGAGTGAGATTGTGGAATGTATTGTTTTTATTCTTTACCAGAAGCCAAGATCATCTTTTGTCTCCGTACTTTCACACCTGACCGGAAGCAGCTGGGTGTGGATGCCAGCGTGGAAGAAGAAGATTGGACCATGTGATGGATTGTGGGTACGGGGACAAAATCATGAACTTTTAACTGGGTGGGATTCTGATGTCATTCCCAGAATTGGGATTCCATAGCATGATGCCAACATGTCTGTCTTATTAAATTGGAACTTTAAGGATAGCTCTGCCTTAGACTCTGATTTAATTCTGCATGATACTTGGAACGCTGACAGCCAGTTTCTGAATGAGAAAGTATTTGCAGTCTATCAATTAGGATTTTATTTATAATAATATGCTGTATATATCTCTCCATTAAATATTAAATAAATGCTTCCGTTTCATAAAACAGCTTGTATCTATGCTAATAGGCCAAGCAGATACAGGTAGTCCTCAACTTACAACAGTTCGTTTAGTGATTGTTCAAAGTTATAATGACACTGAAAAAAATGACTTACGGCCATTTTTAACACTTATGACTGTTATAGCATCCCGAATGGCCACATGATTTACATTCAGATGTTTGACAACTGACTCACATTTATGACAGGTGCAGAGTCCCAGACTCATGTGATCCCCTTTTGTGACCTTCTGACAAGCAAAGGCAATGGGGAAGCCAGATTCACTTAACCATAAAAGGCGGGGAATTTCTGGTGGGTGGGGGTGTGTGTTTGGGGATTGTCATGCGTGTTGGGCCTGGTCTCTGGGTGTTATGTGAATTTCACTGTATGTGTTTACTGTGTATATATGTACAATGACAATAAAGTATTCTATATTACTAATTAACAACTGCAATGATTCACTTAACAAATGTGGCAAGAAAAGTCACAAAATGGGGCAAAACTCACTTAACAAATTTCTCACTTAACAACATGGATTTGGGGCTCAATTGTGATCATAAGTTGAGGATTACCTGTATATAATTAGTCTTAACAGTCATAGTTGGGACAGGAATTTATGTTGCTAAGAAAGGCAATTGTCAAGTTAGTCACATCTAATTTTATGACATTTTTTGCCATGGTTGCAAAGCAAATCATTGCAGTTGTTAGATAAATCATGTGCCCATTAAGCAAATCTGGCTTCCTCCATTGACTTTGCCTGTCAGAAGAAGGAGGGGGGGGGGAAGGTTGCAAATGGCGATCACGTGTCATTGGGACACTGCAACCGTCATAAGTACAGGCCAATTGTTAAGCGCTTGAATTCTGATCAAGTGACCGAGGGGTTGCTGTGACAGTTGTTAAGTGCAAAGACTGGTTGTAAATCACTTTTTTTCAGTGCTGTTGTAACTTTGCATGGGTATTAAATGAATGCCTGTAAGTCAAGGACTATCTGTAAAGGGGATAGAATGAAAGAGAGTTGGAAGGGACCTTAAAGGTCTTCTACTCCATCCCCCGCTTACACAGGAAACCAAATGGTCGTCCAATTTCTTCTTAAAATCTTCCAGTGTTGGAGCATTCATAACTTCTGGAGGCAACTTCTGTTCCACTGATTACGCTAATTGTTCTGTCAGGAAATTTCTCCTCAGTTCTAGGTTGCTTCTCTCCTTGATTGGTTTCCACCCATTGCTTCTTGTCCTGCCCTCAGGTGCCTTGGAGAATAGCTTGACTCCCTCTTCTTTGGGGCAGCCCCTGAGATATTGGAACACTGCTATCATGTCTCCCCTGGTCCTTCTTTCTATTAAACTAGACCTTCCCAATTCCAGCAACTGTTCTTTATATGCTTTAGTCTCCACTCCCCTTTGTTGCTCTTCTCTGCACTCTTTCTAGAATCTGAAGATCTTTTTTATATTGTGTTGACCAAAACCGGATGTAGCATTCCAAGTGTGGCCTTATCAAGTCATCATAAAATGGCGTTAACACTTCATGTGATCTTGATTCTGTCCCTCTGTTAGTGTAGCCTAGAAGTGTGTTGGCCTTTTTGGCAGCCGTAGAAGACTGCTGACTCACATTTAAGTGATTGTCCACTAGGACTCCAAGATCCCTCTCACAGTTACTACTGTTCAGCCAGGTATGATAGGAATATTTTTTTTGGGGGGGGAGGGAGAGTAGAGAGAAGGTCAATTAACGTATTGTTCAACTGGAGTTGGGATATGGGAATATTGGACAATATACAGGAACAGAAAGAAAAGAAAAATGGCATTGTATTTCTCCCAATACAAGGCCTTGTTATTGGAGTAACTCCAAAGAGCCACATGTCTTTTAGTGCACTCTATAGCCATGTTAAAGCATTCTCTTCCAATCAATGAGCCAACAGAAAAGTATGCCAGCATAAACTACCCTTGGTTGAGCCCTCTTCTGCCCCAGTAATCAGCCTGGTAAGGAGCATTGTCTTTAAATAATTCAATAGAAAAAAGGGACTCTGGTTTCAGTTCTGCTCCTATCGAGTGCCAGCCTCTGGCTTGAGAAACAAGTTGCTTTCTTGAGATGAAGAAAGACGGACAGGTTTAGGTGTATGACAGAGCAGTTGATTTAACTACCTGTCAGATTGCCCAACTTACATGTTACAGGTGTAGATGTATTATTGTCTTGAAATAGGGGAAAATTCATGTACATAAGGATCCCATGCAGGACTTGGCAAACTGTATGATAAGCTCAGGTCAGGCTCTACATAAGGACTGATGTGTAATCCAGATCTCCTGTCTTTCCTGAATGTCAACCACAATGTCCATGAAGGGTGGTGCTTGCAACAGCCTAAAACTATACACAGGAGCATTTGGCAAATGCCAACTCAGTTACATCATAGACTACATCATCAGGGAAGTATAATAGATTGTGTGGATGGCAAAAATTGAATTGGGGTAAGAGGGAAAACAACACTTTAAAATTGGAACAGCCCAAAGCAACTTTAAATGAGTTCACCCTAGGTGAAGAGCGTGAGGAAGGCAAATTTGTGAGGACGTGGCATACAGGTTGATTACCTGGACATGTTTTGGTTACCGTTAGGGGGATGTGAGGCTGACCCCTTAGTTCTTACCTGAAGGTATCAGTGGCTCTTATTGCATTTATATTTTGCGCTGTTTCTATGCGCTCATCCAGGTCAGATGGTTCTCGCCAACTGTCCAGCTTGTCATTGCTCTTAATATTATCGGTAGCATAAGGTGCGTTTTGGGATACCTAAAAAAATGTGACATATGGTGGCATTAGAGCAACTTGGGGAAAAAGATCAACTGGTCGTGCTAGCTGGATTTAAGGCAGGATAGCAATAGGGTTAAAGTATTGGAATGAGACTAGGAAGCCAAGAGTCAAGTCCTCTAGCGACGGCCACGAGAGTCCCCTTGGTCTCAACTCAGGGATGGAAGGAGAGAGACTCCTCCTTATGCCCCCTTGAGTTTATGGAGGATAGGTCGAATATAATCAAATAAATACTTAGGGTATAAAATTTGTTATTTAAATTTCCCAACTATTAATCCCCTTTTTTACGACTCATTTAATCAAATGTAATCATTTCAAATATCACAGCAGCTATTTTCTAATCACAGCCTGAGGAAGAACGTGGGTGTATTATATACATAGGTAGCAACTTACTTTTTCTCTTCATATAAAGGGAAGGCAAACTACATTTTTAAAAGACATCTAGGGGTTAAAGGCAATCAGCACATCTCTCAAAAGATGTACAAATGCAGCAGGAGACCTTCAAGTAATCAGCTTGTTCTGCTGCCTAGAAAAGGTTCCATTATGTAGGTTGCCATTCCCTACTAGAAAGGCCAGAATTTCTATTTGAAAGAGAAGAAAACAAAACATGGGAGCCAATGGGGACTTACGCTGTTTCTTTTCCATCAAATACCGTTGGTTCTTAGTGAGATCCTGGGGACTCAAACTGAGAAATGACTGGCTTAATTTCTATAGGATACAGCATCACCTTTCTCATATCTAGAGCCAGAACTCCTATCACAATTCAATCAATTGTGGTTTTTTTCCCCTTGCTAGTTTGAACCAACAAGAAAAGAAAACCTGTTGCCACGATTCAGCTTCCAGACAACTCTACCCGGATGACTGAGAATCTTCATCCTCTTTCAACATGTTTCCCAGCATGAGCCGGTTTTCTCAAGAAGCACATGCTAGTATTGTTGTGAGCATTTGGGTTCCTTTTTTTAATACATTCATATTTTGAACCATTAGATTCTCATTTGATCAGACAATACTTGACCCTTAGTTATTTACTGATTACATCCATGTTTCCTATCCTTCTCTGCCTGTGACTCCATCTTCTACATGTGGCCTATTTAACCCCTACGTATTTTGTCAAGAACAAACCCTAATTTCAGCCTGTTCCAAATGTAGGTCTGAAATCTAATAGCAGAAATTAGCATTGCCAGCGACTGTGGCCCTGAGAAACTATTACCAGATGTCCTCAAAGTCATTCCAGAGATGGTTCCCCCCCACCCGTCTCCCTCCATGTTAAATTATTATCCAGTCAGAATTTCAGCTGATCTGTCAAAGATAATAATTCTAACCCAGCCGAGGGGAGAAGCGCATACTACGTTTAGCAGTAGAAAGGCAGGCTCAGAAACTCCCTGGATGAGAGTTAAATGGGAGGAAAACCGCTGAGACTCATTTAATCATCATGGGATATAAAAGAGGGACTGAGAGAGAAGAGATGGGGGGGGGAGGGAGACAGTGGGAGAGAGAGAGAGAGAGAGAGAAAAGTGAAGGACATGCTCATAGTTTTGCAAGGAGTATAAAGTATTAATGGTGTTTAAAAATCACACTCTTCAGGGATACGTCAATCACTGCTTCATTTCTCACATAAAAATCATGTAAGAATGGAAACAAACTCCTTGGAGCATTGAATCAATGTAACTGTTGTCCTTGACATTTTACTGTAGAGCAAAACATTTTTTTAAAAATCATTTGTTAAGAATGCCAATTAATAAAATATCTTCTTTTATTAAAACTAGTCTTTATTATTTGATCCCAAATTGTGTGTAAATGAAAGATGATTGGATCTCTTGGATGGATCACTGATGTGGGAAGTGCACAGGCTTCATGTTTCTTGAGTTTCTACATAGTTCAGAGCACGATTTCTATAACTTCCTCCACAGATCCCATCTCACGTTGTGTGAAAACTATCCCAGACAAGTCTTCTATTCTGAATCCTCTTACGAAGAGTGTCAGTTTTAATGAAGTGACATTCGCCTATGCTCTCCTTTCTAAATTCTAAAGTTAATTATATCCAATTTCCCATTTTTCTGAATGGCGTAGCATCTTTGACAGCTGTGTGACATAAAGAAGCATGCATGGAGAGCAGCATGATGGCTTGTATGAGTGACATCCATGCATGCAGCTGTGGAAAGATGGCATGAGCCACTGGAATTTGCTCTGAAAGCTGTTGGGAAACAACTCATGATATACACTTTGGCGGCTGAATTGCTAATAACATTCAAGAATTATGAGATATCACAATGTAAAATCAGTGTGAAACTTATAAATGCCTATTGTATTTTATTTGTTTATTAAATTATACCTGACACTCTACATGGAATCTTGGCTGTTTACCAGAGATGTATGGGAATCAACAGTATAGTAAGTGTTCACTTCAGCAGCACATAAACTAAAACTGGAATGATAAGAGATTAGCATTTGGCCCTTGCCCAAAAATGACATGCAAATCCATGCAGCCTTCCATTATTTTGTCCCAGGATGCAGAGGACAAATTTATAGCTCCCTGAGATGCGATGTGACCTGTGGCTGAATATTTGACTTCTTAGCTAAGTGCTTTGTATTATGATAGATTTAGTTAGCCATGGATTAACTCTTGTTATTTTATATTTGCTTAATATTTTTTATCCCATTTATGGATTTTTGATGTTTATGTATAACTTAGGTTTTTAAAATGTTTTTTTATCTTTGTGTATTTTACACTTTTAAGTTTTTAAAATTATTAATTGTTTGCACTCTACTTTTCTTAGGCTGGTCTATGATCGTAATAAAGATTTCATGGATTGATGGTACAATAAAACTATAAGAATAATAGAAGAAAACACCCAAAATATAAAGTTAAAAATTGCAATGAAATAAAAATCAATGATAGTAATATAAAAAACAATAGTATTTTTAATCTTCCTCAGGCACCCTGAAACAATTCAGTTTTTAAAAGCTTATGGAAAGCCAATAAGATAATAGGCATTTTACCAGTAAGAGGAACTATAACAGCTGCCTGCCTCTCCTCTTATCCAGTTGCTCAACCTTGAAATAAGTAATTAAATTAAAAAATTATATAGAAGCCATTACTTGCAAAAATCAGAAAACTCTATAAATTGCAATTATAAACACAAATAGCAAATGAACAAACCCCCTCATTCCCAAAATTTCCTTTTATTCTAATCACTCTATTCTTATGAAAATATATTAATAAGAAGTCCAGTCATTTTTAAAAGAAGAAAAACTAATTCTCAGTATTAGAAGGAAAGGGATTATCCAAGGTAGAAGGCTAATGATGCTAAACCCTGAAGCTAAACTCTATCTCATTGTCTCTCTGATGAGGCCTGGGGTTGCTATTAAAATCAGACAATAAAACACCTCGTGTGGTCATCTTTACAGAGAACAGATCTGCACTTCAAAGCACACTCTGTCTGAAGAACATGTCAATTCACTAGATTTAAAAAAAAACACCTTTTTAAAGTTGATAGAAAGCAAGGTGATTTAGAAAAACCAGACCTATTTTACTGCTAAGGGATCATCCAAACTAAGCAGTTATATATTTCATCTGTTAGCATACTTCTCCTTATTGCAAAATTTGTTACATATCTATTTATTCTCCCCCTCAAAAAATTTGCATGCACATATGCAAATTGGCACACATATATTTTATTATTTATTTATTAAATCGATTTATAGGCCGCCCAATCCCGGAGGATTGCCCTTTTTAATTTTGGAGAGAGGAATTTATTGCCCTTTTTAATTTTGGAGAGAGGAATGACCCTGTGTGGAGGAGGGGCAGCCTGCTTTTATCCTATACTTGACTTTTTAATAGTAGATATACAAGAAGCAGATTTCCCTACATTTGGGTGAGCTGTTTTATTGCACCTAGTGGTAAAGATGCTACTTTCATATTACATCTTATTCTTTGTAATACAACGTTTAGTACAGGAGCTGGGGGGTAAGGGATAATCACAAGGTGCATAGCTAAGCAATTTATTTGTTTATATAATGTCACAACAACGAGGTAGAAACTTCAGATATGACTTTGACCTCCAAATAATTTCTAAAGTCCTTGCTCTCCCTAATTTGCTGTAAAATAAATCACATCGCTGTTTGCAAAACAGCCTTAAAGATAATGTCAATGACATTCCATGTAGAATCCAGATTTTATCAGCTCTCATCAGATCACGACTCTTCAAAATATTCATGTTTATTTTTTAGAGACACACGTTGTAGGATAAAAATGGTATGACAACATTTCAGCAAGAAAATCTTCTCATGTAAATAAGTTAAGAGGTTTGAATTTTGTTTACAGCTTTGTATATGCTTTCAGTCCTAGCATTCTGGCAAGGTCTACCTGTTTTAATAAAGTGGTAAATGTTAAACAGTCTTTTTATGGCTGTTAGAAAACATTCGAAATGAACAGTATAAACACATCTGCTTTTGTCTTTTCGCTCTTTTAAATGAGACTGGAAAATGAAGGTCTTTTTCATGCTAACTAAAATAAGGCGAAACCTGCCTGCCTGCCTGCCTGCCTGCCTGCCTGCCACCTCTGGCCTGATACTTCCCCATATAGACCAAGGGGAAAGAATCTCTGCAGCTCAGGGATGAAATGTGGCTCGCTGGGTGCTCTCTGAGCTGGTTCGTTTGCTGGCAGATGTTTCCTGACCAGACTCTGGCAAAACAAAGAAACCCCAGAAAGCACCAAGGTCTCCAAACCTCTCATGTCTTGCTAGTAAATAGTTACATAATAAGTAACCTATACGAAATGCATTGCCCACCTATATATGTGTGAGATACCTGAAAGGGCTGGAGGGGGTATATAACTCAAACAAGACTACAAGTGTACCTTCGCAGGAAAAACCAGCGTGAGTAATCCCAAAGAATCAGAACACTTGAGTTTATTACAGATTTCCCACCTTAGACAGTTTCAGGCATATTCAACGTGAGTTACATAAATAAACATGAAGATA